CCATTGATCAGAGGTACATTGTGCAAATGCACTGTTTATAAGGTTGTGTAAACCTGCAGTCAGCTGAGACTGAAGAAGTCACTTGGATGATGATGAAATGTTTCTCCCACTGAAAACATCCAGATGAACAGAACCAACTTTTGGGGATTTCCTTCCCTGGATGATTGAGCACGCATCAAGATATCAGCAGGGCAACCGCCTACATGTTTCTAGTCACAAAACATGTGTTGTTCTGGTTACTACTAATGCATTTTACCTTACAAGTTGAGTGTTTCTCTGTACTGAGAAACAACACAGGCACACAGAGACACAGACTGTACCTACTTAACTCCAAGTTACCCCCAATGGATCCATCAGAGAATGTTGGTTAAAAGTGCTTCAGCATAGACAAAAGCTTTTAAACAAAAGTGTGTCTGAATGGGTGAATGAGACATGCTTTAAGAACATTTGTGTGCAGAAAAGTATTACATACACACCATTTACCTCTTTGCTGTGGTCTGGCTTCTGCTGAGAGCCGGTTCATTTCTGTTACAATGACTTTCTGTGTGAGAGCAGGTGAGCAGCGTTGGTCGGTGCTAAAGGGTGGAGCAGCAGGCGTGATGAGAGAGGGGCACGGGGACGGACATGGTGAGGGATGATGAGATGGTTGAGGGGATGGCTGGGGAGTTGCTGCCTTTGAAGAGGATGCTGACATTGACAAGACGGAAGACTTTTCGTAGGAGCTGGATCTAGAAGAAAACTTGATAGACGCCTCTGGTTTAGCAGAGCTGGGTAAGTCCCGGTGATGCAGGAAACCTGGGCAGGTGTGGTGACCTGAAATGGGCTGGCTATGATGGCGGACATGGTAATCATAATGGGGATTATTGTGGTGTTCAGAATCAGAGAGCTGGAAGGAATTCTGGCAGGTGTGTTGGAGGGAATGAAGGGAAGTGTAGTGGGTGGGACCAGGGCATGCATGGTGGGGGGAGGCTGGTTTTGGCTGGTGTTGGCTGGTGGGAAGGGATTTGATAGGCTTGTGGGGACAGTCCTGGAGTAAATGGGTGGGACCAGTGACGAGCAGGCAAGAGATGGGCTGCACCACTTTGGCTGAAGGCTTGTAATTGAACTCTTTCTCCGTGAATGGTCTTCTTTGGGCCTGGACAGAAGCAGCTCTGAAGGGTGGAAGAGGTTCACTCGAAGCCTGCGTTTCACCCTGTCATTCAGAAAAAGGCAGTGACATACAAAAATCCAACATGAATAGTGAATGTTGCCTCTTTAATCGTTATCTTTAAGATTTTAGATCTTG